AGAAAAATTTGGTAAGTCACTCAAGGTTATAGTACTGACTTGCAGACCTAGGAGTTGCATTTAGATTTAAGCTCTGAATGCACTGCCTTTCTGCAAGGCACAGGCTGATGGATATGCCCAAGTACCCATGGCACATACCCAATCTGTGTTTGCTTGTGACCTGGATACTCAGCTCACTGGCTGAGTGCTGCTTAAGGCCGGCAATGTATCAGAGTGGTAGAATACCCGGCTAGCACGCGTGTTTCCGCTTTCAGTGGCTTAGGTTTCAGTCTCTTATGCCTCATATAAAGAAGACATGATCATTTAGGTAGTGCAACTCCCATACTGAAGAACCACACCTTCACCTTCCTCTCTGGTAGGCATTAAGATTGTGACAGGCAGGATTTGGTCTCTAGTCTTGGGAAAGGGCTCACCAGTGTTGGGTCTGCAGAGTGACAAATCATCCAGAAGTGTGTGTCAAAGGCCTGCTCCTCTCCTTGTCAGCAGAGAACCAATATGTTGGTACATGGTGTTCTGGAAGTTACTGAGTAGTCTACTTTTGTCTGCAGTCTGAGCTAGGCTCTAGCCTTTTGCTCAACCCCCTTCCTGCCCTGTCCACCCGTTGTCAGGTAGTAGTATATGGGTGGGCAGGGACACCGGAGCAGCTGTTGATGCCTCTTCTCTCCTTTGAAGGATCTGATGCTGCTGCCGTCGAGGGCTACTTCATCTATTAAACCCAATACACTTGTCGCAGCTGCTAAGCCCCCGTAAGCCGCCGGGCGCCGTGTTTGTGATGGGACTGACAGTGCATGGAGGAGGCTGATTATACACGATTCCATTTCGCGGGCCCAGCAATGTAATTTCACAGGGCGATCAGCGTTTGCATGTAATAGCAGGCTGTGCTGAGGTGTCAGAATATTAAAGGCGCTAATGGCAAAGCTCCCTGTTACACAGGGGGCCACCCGCCGCGCCTACAGCAGGGCTGTGCAGCAGGCCCGTCGCAGATGGCTGGCCACTAAGCTAATGGGGCAGCAGCCAAGGCGGGCAGAGCCACAAGAGGGGAAAGCCAGCCGGGAGCAGCTCGGCACCTGCTTCCCTGCGCATGGAAATTACAGCGGCCCAGGGGAAGGGAAGTGTGCGTGCCTGCCTGACAGGGTAGGGTGGGTTGGTTCAGTGGGTACAGCATCTTTCAATCCAGCTCCACCTGTCCTCCTGGCTCAGCATTTGAGTGCCTGTCATGGACAGAACTTGGAAGTCATCTTTCTCTCCTTAGTAGTCATCCTTCCACATGCTCCACCCTCTGGCTGGGAACCCCAAGAGTTAGGTGCTAACGGCACAGATGGCTATGTGGGTCTTGATAACTGAGCGGTGCCATGGGGAAACAGCCACCATTGGTAAGCAGCTCTTGTACAAAGGCTTCGAGAGAGCTCGTAAGACAGATTCCTATCCCACACTGGTCAAGATTAGGAAGTGTCTGGGCCTTCCTCCTTCCCCACAGGTTGAAGGAAGGGAACAGGAAGAAGAAGCCTCTCCCCACTCCTGCCGTTCTCCTTTGTCTTGGCTGCATCTTCTGCATGGACTGAAGTGCTCCCTGTGGGCTGTACTCAGGCCTTCTGGTAACACTCCTCCAGGAGACTTTCCTAGCCTCCTCCAGCCTCACACAGGGCTCAGCGTCCTGCTCTGTTTGACTGCCAGGTGGCAGCCTTGACTTTCCAACCAGGGTCCTTGCAGCATAACTGGTATACTTTGCCCTGGGCAGGACTCCTGGAGGAGCTCTGCTAAGACTGTTTACAGATGCGATCTCTTTAGAGAATGGCAGGATGGGCAGTCACTGGAGAGAGGGGCTGAAGCATGCGAGCACCTACATAGTCAGCCATTCCCTGATACATATTGTCCCAGATGGGAGGCTTCCAAGGGCATACCAAGGTGTGGGTTCAGGTGCAGAGGGCAGCAGATGTGAGGTCCAGAGCATATGGTGATGGGAACACAAGTTGCATTGCTTTAAGAGCATCTTGTGTCTCTGTGTTGCCTGTGACTGTGACTGCTAGCTGTGCCTGATAGGTTCCAAAATGACAGGGTTGAGGTTTTTTTTGGGGGGGGGGCGGATTTGAGGTACTGCGCCTACACTGCTTCTGTGAAACTGGTGGCCGTGTCAGAAGGTTAAGCTCTGGGGGAGATGTGCCAGTGTTCTCAGCAGGGGCAGCAGGAGGAATCCCAGGCTGAAGGAGAGCAGTTTTAATTAACCGTTTTTAATATCATTTTGGACTTTGGCTGGTATGTGAAGGCCCCGCTGGAAGCAGCATTTGTAAAAATTAAATCCCTCTTATTAGGAGCTTGGCAGACCCATGTGCACATGCCACCCTCCTCCTGGCCCATACCCCCTGAGGAAGTGCTGGATGAGGCCGAGTCTCAGCAGCAATTGGTTATCTTGCCTTATCTAGAACTATGAAACTGTGCAGCATGACACCACAGCCACACTGGAGACGCCAATTCATCTCACCCTTGCTCTGACAAGCTACACTGCCCTTCCTGAAAGGCATCTGTCAGGGGGACCAGGGCACACCTTGCCCGCTACTCTCTCCCACCTGGGGCTCCAACTTTCCTTGGTCCAGCCTGGCCCTCCACCCCCCTTCCACACATCCTAGCCTGGGAAGATCTTGGGGAGTCATAATTACAGTAATAATCTAATCATGGTGACGTATGGGGCAAGCATCTAATGTTATCTGAAGTGGTCTTCCCGTTTAGCTGTGATAAGGCTCAGGATGACGTGCAGATAACGTTAAGATGCCCTGTCCCTGAGCCACAAGCAGAGTGGAGGGGCCGCCACAGCCCTGCCGCCCGCCGCTTTAAGCCGGGAAGCGGCAGCACCTGCTAATGCAAGTGTTTAATATTTGATGGGCTGGGATAAAGCAGGATCACCTTCGAATTGAATTGAGTGTCAGCCGAGAATCTATTACTGAAATTCGGGTGTGATTTGACAGCAAAGTAGACGATGTTATTCTTCACTAGTTACTGCAATCTTCTCCCCGACATCACTTAAATATTTTTTTCTTTGCTTGAGTAAACACACATTATCCTTCTTTTTTCCCCCTTCCTTCCCTTTTTCCTTTTTCAAGGGGGAAAAAAAAACCATCCAGCTCGCCTTCTCCAGGCTGATAGAGTAGATTGTTATTTCTTTATTTGTCCTATTAAATGGAATTTCTGATCGTTTAATCCGGCCTTTGTAAGTGATTTTAAAGTACTTGAAAGGCAGCCGCCACTGCTCTCTGGCCCACTGCGCTCCAGCCTCAGCTGGCTGTGCTCAGCGGTTCCCCCAGCTGTGCCCACCTACTGACTGTGTCCCCTCTCTGTCTGTATCCTCTTGCTGCATGCATCCCCTTGTTGCCCATATCCTGGCTTTGCCAGCATGCTCTCTCCCAAACCCGTCCTTGTGTCCTACACTCAGCCTCCCGATTTGTGGCTATTGCTGTGACCTAGGGTAAGACAGAGAAGGATTGGCTGGAGTTGAGCTTTGGCTGGTCCCTCTGGTCAAGGAAAATGGTTTTGGAAAGTACTGAGCTTTAAATTGCATTGGCTCCTAGTCTTCTAGTGTCTGTAGGCCAGGTTCCTGAAGCTGGAAAGGAAAGAAACTGGCCTTCTGCCTCCCTAGTCCCTGGACCCTGGCACAGATACTGACCAACACCCCCTCCCCCCATACACATCTTGTTTCCGGCCCTGTGCTGGGTCTTTTCCTCTGTGTGGGAGCTGTTGGGCCCAGAAGTAGGTGGGCACTGCAATGCTTATCTAAGCATGGCTAGCGGGCATTTTGGTTCTGTCACCTGACCCAACTCACCCAAGTTTCATCCCATTGCCACTGCCCCACATGCTGTCACCTTCCTGCCATTAGAATGTCAGCTTGGTGTTTAGTGACTTCAGAAGTGAAGGGATAGGGATAGTTAAATTCTTAATTTGGTATCAGGCCCACTGGCAGAAGCCCAGAACTTATTTTTGGCAAGCTAAGAAGGAAGAAATTCCTCTCAGCCACATTGTAGAGGTCTAACCCACGTAGCTCAAAGTCACTTTCTTCTGGGCCTCAGTTTCCTCATCTGTGACATTCGGCCTATCATGCCAGTGAGGAAAGATGCTGCTGATCCTGTCCCCAGTGAAGGGAGGCAGATCCTGTCTCCTGCCATGTGTTCCCCCCAGATGGAAGTTGCTGGAGGCCAGATGGTGTGATAGAGGATGGAGGGAGCAGTGGAGCTGCTGGGGACCTGAGCAGATCGATGCCCCCAGCACTTCCTTCCCCAGCCCCAGGAAAACAATTAAGTACAGATCAATGGGTGGCCGCTTTGAATATGCATAAGTGAGCACTTGACCTTCAGCAGAACACACACACACACACACACACACACACACACACACACACACACACACACACACACACACACACACACCATGTACTTCCCTCACTGATGCTTGAGTTGACCTGGTGACCTTACTCCCCTTTCATTGAGCTCTCACACAGCACTTACAGCCTTGCCTGTGCAGAATCAAAAGCAACTTGACCATAGGCATGTTATTGGGCCAGTTCCTGTTTCATTTTTCCTGTCTGTGGAATGAAATTTGGGAACACTAATCTCCCAGATGCTACCTGAGAACAGTCTTTGTGACTAGTAATACCAAGAGAGGGAGCCCAGCACAGCTGTGGTGTTCTAGGATGGGAATCTGTGGAGGGGTGCATGCTGATGGGAATGCTCTGATGAGGGGAAGACCTAAGCAAGCCAGACTTGTAGAGAAGAGCTCCCCAGGAAGGATGTCAGGGGCTGAAGGGGAAAACCCAGGAGAATGAAGACTTTGTAGAAGGAAGGGCTTTTTATGGTGGGGGAGAGCTTTGGTGAAAGGGAAGGAACATGGTGAGGGACTCTAATGAGGTCGTTATTACCAATCTGAGGGGAAGAAGTGGGGACTGAGAGAGACTTGGTGAATGGGGTTTGCCCAGTGGCCAGGGCCTCTGTTAACAACTTTTGCCTCCTGTCTTCCAGGCTTACAGCTTCGCCATGGGCTGCTGGCCCAAGAATGGACTACTAGACATGAACAAGGGTCTCAGCCTGCAGCACATAGGCCGGCCCCACAGCGGCATTGGTCAGTCCCTCTACAAATCCCCCTGGCAGCTCTGTCAGTCCCCTGCCTGCATGCCTCAGCCCTCTGGCAATCAGAGGACTTCCTTGTCTCGTTGTTAAGTACTTCAGCCCTATGGAAGGTTCTCACCATGGGCTGGAGGGGGGGAAGGGTAGGGTGGGCAGATTGAGGAGATTATGGATTGGGGCAATTGGAAAGGACCTCTCAAAACATTTGAAGAGGAGAGTGGAATATAGGCTTTGAGTGAATCACAGGTGGCTGTAGATTCAAAGTACTGTCCCCTTGTCCCCATTGCCTGCGTCCTTAGTGGGCAGTGTCTTCAGGGATATGGGCATATGTCAGCTTATCTACCCCCCCCCCCCACCTCCCACCCCCAGTGGAGCTAGAGGAGGCTGTTTAATATTGTTTCAAGTCTGTGGCCACTAAACTGGACGATCAATGGGAGTTAAGGAGATGAATTATTTAAACCTCACCAGCTTTTAATTAGTCTAGGTCCTTCTGACCGATGGCTTCGTCCACTGGGTATTGACTCCCCTGCAGGAGCAGCAGCCTTCACTGAGTAGTGCCTGGGTTGGGGGGGGGGGGGCACTTGGGGTAACAGGTGGGGTAACACTCAGGGATTTCTGCTTGGGAGAAACTGGAATGGCTGCAATTCTACATAGCTGGCAACTCTATGAACTTCTGATAAATCAGTGTGAATATGTGTCTCTGTATGACATCTTGCCTGTATGTCTGAGTGTAAGGTGTTCATCCTTGTACATGTCTGTTAGAAAGGGTGCCTACCTAATAATACATCCATGTTTATTTGAGAGCATGTGTCTGATTATGGAAAAGTACCAGCCTGTGTGTGTATCTGTCAGAAGAAAGTCTCTTTCTGTGTCTCTTATTTTGTGTATATGTGTGCAGATGCTTCCAAGGAACACAGGTAACCAGCATTGTTCTAGGGCATGGAGCCAGGGTGAGCCTGGGTGGCATTATGACCTTATTATAACTTGATTACTTTTGATAAGGTGTCATTGGTAGGGGCTAGAGACATCAGAATGGTAGAAGGTCCCAGCCACTTGCTACAAATTAGTCCCCTTTACCCATTCCTATCTCTCAGTGCCCAGTGGGTGCTGAGCATACCGAGAAGAGACAGCCTGCCAGGTGTACAACTGTTGTGGTAGAAACATCTGGATTGCCACCAGAAAAGCTGCCCTGTTCTTAGTTGTCAAGGTAGCTTCTATTTCATCTACATGTAGTGATTCCTGAGGTGCTCTTTATTGGTCCTAGGGACCAGGGGGAGAAGGAAGCCTAGGGTTCTGGGGTACCCTACTGTAACTGCTGTTCTTATGATAAATTTTGAGAGTTCAGCAGGAAATTTATTAGGTAAAAGCACTTGAGTTGGGATCCTTGAAAGATAAATACATTTTCTAGGTAGAAAAACAAAGGAATATTTAGGCAGGGAAAATGTGTATACAAAGAAAGTGTGAAAAGCTGAAAGCATATTAAGAAGACAAGTTTAGGCATCTGCAAGTAGTTTAGTAAACACCAGAGCCTTGACTGCTTGGTTAAAGGTTATTCTTCCCTCCCCGAAAATAAGGTTTAGAGGTGATGTTAGAAGATGAAAAAGTGATGTGATCAGAGCTTTGATTCAGATTTAGTGCAGCAGTTTGTGTTGCACAGAGCTAGCTCTTAGTAGTTGCTCAGTAAAGTCTTCCAGATGGATAGATGAAAAGCTGGTGAGCAAATGAATCAGTGGAAATTTTATGGAAAACGGAGAAGGTTAAGGAAATCATTGAGAAGGCTTGCATTCATTCAAGGAAGGAGAGCTAGCAGCAATGAAGTCTGGTGGTTGGTTGGTTGGTTGGTACAACAGGATGATGGTAAGGCATCCTCCACAACCTTGAGCTATGTGTCCTGCTTCTGAATATGTGAATAGGGTATATATCTGTGAGGAGAACAACCCCCTCTCACCACTCTTTGTTGCCTCTTGAGGCTCAGTGATCCCTCCCTTGTCTGTTCTCCTGGGTTAGGTCTCCTGAGGTGGCCTCTCCTTTAAAGAAGAACATTTTTTTTTTCTCTCTGGCCCATGGGGCAGCTCACGACTCTGAGTAACAATGAAGCCAGAAATAGTTCTAGCTTTACAGGGCAGATCCCTGAGACCTCAGCTGAGGGGCAGTGCTGCCAGCCTCCTGGGCCAGTGGGAGGGGCCAGTGAGAAGCCCAGGAAAAGGCCTTTGTAAGGCCCTCTCAAGGTAGATGCCCAGGGAGCTCCCTCTCCATGGCTTTGCCAATGTCAGAGGCTGCCAGGGCACTGGCCTTTCTTGGCACTTGGACTCTGCAGTCTGAATGAAGAGGGCAGCTCTGCCAGCTCCTGGCTAGCTCTGAGGTGTGGGTGAGGGTGCTTGGAAGGGAGGGAGGATAGAGGGCATTAATTGGGCTGGGAGAGGCAGGGAGGGGAGGCGTGGGTTTTGAGCAGTGAGGTTAATGGCCCTCGCACCAAAGAGACAGCTTTAATGAGCTTCAGCTGGCGGTGCCCCGAGTTACTGTGCGTGCTAAAAGGGTCGCGCTGTAAGAGTTTGATGTGGACTGCTTTCCAGCCCTGGGGTCAGGGGTCAGCTCCTGTCACTGGCCACTCAGGCTGGTCCTCAGTGACATGGTGCTAATTAACTGTGTGAGGAGAGCTGCCAGACTAGAGTAGGGAATGGTATGTATATTGTTGGGTGGGGGAGGCAGCATTGGGTGATGCTGGATCTCCAGGCTCTGATTGGTTCTTCCACGGTGCCATGGAAATATGACATTGATGATGTGGAGGTGCTCAGAGTACAAGGAGGCAGGCTTGCTGGAGGGTGGGGTGACAGGAAGAGGACAGGGAGATAGGGTGGGTGGAAGGAAGGCCTGTCAAGTTGTGCATCTTGGGATGTTTGAGGGGAAGGACTGCTGGGGAGTCTGCAGGGCAGGGAGGCCAAAAGAAAGGCATAAAAAGGTCATCGAGAGCCAGGGCAGCATGAGAATGGGGACAAGGAACCAGATGAAACTTTCTTTTAGCCATTAACTGCTTACCTTGTACCTACTGTATGTCAAGAGTTGTAGCAGGGCTGCAAGTGAATTGCTATAGATGGCATGGTTCTCAGTACCCATAGAAATTTCAGGTAGAATTCTGAGCTTGGCATTGGAGCCTGGAGATGACAGTTTTAGGGGTGGTTAAGGGGGGGCCAAGGAGGCTGAAGCGCTGGGCAGAAAGGCTTTGGACATTGTAGCAGGGTAGAGGTGGGCTTGGCCTTGGGAGCCTGATGTACAAGGTGGGACTACAGTGGCAGAGCTGCCAAATGTAGATCTTCCAACTTGCACAGCTGCGTGACTCTATCAGGAACCCCAGTCAGCTTGTCTCCAAGGCAGAACAGCCTCACCCCCAACTGTTGTGCGGTCTGCCTTTCTGAGGGTCAGCAAAGTGTTCCTATTGTTTCACATAAACTGATTTGATTTTCATATCAATCATATGAAGGTAGGCATCACTTTCCCTTCTTAGAGACAAAGAAACAGAAAACTAAGGAGCCAGGATTACATAAATGCCCAAGGGCACAGCCCAACTTCTTAATCCCTGTGCCTGGCCAATGAATGCTGTGCTTTTTAGTGTTGAACTTTGTTACTGCTTTAACTTACAAAACCAAACCAAACCTGGGTTCTGGGTTTCAAATGCAGATCCTCATGCTTGAGAGAAAGCACCTCAGCCACTAAACTATCTCCTCACCCCAGCCTGCATGCTCACTTTCCCTAGTTTCCTATGACCCATATTGGCCTTTACAAAGCTTGGGAAGCAACAGCTGAAGAAAGAAAGGCAGACACTGCTGTCCACCATTCTGTTGAAACTACCTTGCCCTGAAGCCAAGGTACCTGCTGACCTCTGGCCCTTGAAACTTCTTACTCTGATTGCAGTTTGCTCTCTACCTCTTGGTCCAGGTGATCCCACCCATCGCTAGGCCCTCACATTAGGACTATACAGAAGATTATCCTGCTATCATTTGTTGTAGGCAATAGCTGGGTCCTTTAGGCTAGGGATGCAACTCAGTGGTAGAGCACTTGCCTAGCATGAGCAAGGCCCTGGGTTCAATCTGTAGCAACACATGCACACATGCACACAAAGCCTCAGTCCTCCATACTGGGGTCTCTGCAGCAGAGCCTGGGTTCCTTCCCTTTTCTTTCTGAAATCTACACAGCAAATACCAGTCAAACCCGCTATTGTGACAGCCCATAAGCTGCTGGTTGCAGCTGGCTAGGAGAGTAACTGCAATAGTCCCTGAGACCCAGCTGGGTGGTCCTGCCCTGTGATCTTAGCCCCTCTGCTCTGAGACCGGGGAGGGTCCTGCTGAGGCTCATGGCACAGGTGGCATGGCCAGAGACCAAATGGACTCTCAGGAGCTTTCTGCCCAGCAGTTTGGCAAGAGCTGAGCTGGCAGGTGTGTGTGTGTGTGGGGTGCTCCTCTGTGGGGGGAAGTACTAGCCTGTGGTCTCCCCCACATGAGTTGGGTGTCTATCAAGAGTCCAGTCAGAATGCATTAGCTCTGTGGCATGGATCTCATTAGTGCCCGTGAGAGGTGTCACTGCAGGAGAATCGTAGGCTCAGGGAGACGCTTGTACCAAAAGGAAGAAAGGACAGTGACAGCCTTTTCTCTGCCGCCAAGCTCACTGGGCCTCCCGCCCTCCTCCTCGTGGGGAGGGGGGTGCCAGCTAATGAGCTCAGCTGCAGTACAGCTTTGGCTTCCCCTCCTTGAAGTTTCCCAGGTCTCTCTGAAGACCTCAGGCCCTGGATTAGCACACAGGGACACCAGCCCCTCCTCTTGCCCAGCAGGGAGTTCCTTCTGATCACCCAGCTCTACCATAGGAAGGGAAGGGGGAGAGGCTAAGGTGGGGGAGGGAGTGTTGCACCCCTGAGAGTGCTCGGATCCCTCTGCTTGGCTCAGCAGTGACCATGTTCCCCTCTACAGAGGACTCCTGCTTCCAAGAGCCTTTGCCTCCCTTTCC